CGAACAAGAGAAAAGAAAAATGAAACGAAAACGAGGAAAAGAATTAAATACGGCGCGTTTCGCGCGACTCTATTCTTTTTTATCACAATTTTTGTTTTCTCCTTTTTTTTCTCTCTCACGTTTTCCTAATCCGCGGTTCGACGGCGTCGAGGCACGGATTCGGAAACGATCAATTTAACTCGGTAATATAAAAGGAAACGCTCGGAGCTTGTAGCTTCTTATCGCGAATACAATAATTTTATATTTATGTGTGTGTATACGTATACATATACGTATATTTATATTCATGCGTGGACATATAATATACATATACATATATCTATACGTACGATTAATATAATAAGGCAATTTCGATATTAATTCTTGTTTCTGTTTAAAAAGTACGATAAATACGACTCATGAATCAAGAAACACGGAGCTCGCGTGAAAATTTAACCCCTATAAAAAGTCAGTCTCATTTTTTTCATCCTACGACAATAGCATGTTTCCGTCCGCAATCTATGTACAATATACGGCGTGCTCAGGATCCCGATGGTAAGCATTGTTACATGTGTACACGGAGGTGACAATATCGTCTAAGTTCAGATAAAAGTGCTTGACTGACTGTACTGTTAAAAATGACAATCTGTAAAATATTAACACGTTGACTGCCGCGGTGGTCACCGGTGAATGAAGCTTCCAAATTGAGAATTATAATTTATAAGATAGCGTAGGATAACAATGTTCAGTAGTGTAAATAACTACATATTAGAGTAGATTACAAAAATTATTCATTATTTAATTTTGAAGAAATTAATTACTTTTTCGTTGCAGTCAACATGTTAATCAGACTGCGGATATTTAGCTTCATCCTTTCACACGCACAATTTTGCAAAACTGTATAACATTTCTCAAACAATTTAATCTACTTTCCACTTTGCTCGCAGTTAAATAATTTAAACAAATTTTAGATTCTAGTACCTCTAAGAAATCTTCGATGAACATTAATATTTTATATGTATTAACATCCGCAGTCTAGATACAATAAATAGCTTTTTAAAATCATCCATAAACACGATGCCTCCGAATAAAATATTCCTGTTAACATTTCAGGTCGGCGAACAAGTAATTGGGCGTATTTTATCCGAACGTAGAAGACACAGCGGCACAGAGAATCCAATTGCCAATCCTCAACATTTCAAAAATGCTGAGAACTGAAGTGAATGAAATTAACCCCCTGCTCTACAACACTGTATTGAATATATTCATATTTCAAATAGAATTTAACAAATATAAATGTCACTTGGTTCTTTCCACTCCGAATTGAGTATTATTTTCCTATTATTAATTGTACTGCTTCAGAGTAAACGTAGATGTAGAACAAAGGTAGAACAGTTCCCAGTAATGAATTATGAACAATAAAGTATCCGAGTTGCGAAAGAAATAATGCAAGGGGTTAATCTAATTAAATGAATACACTTAATGATCACTAGACTAACGTTGAAAGGGATAGCTTTACATTTGAGTGACATTTCTCAATGTTAACAATGTCCTTTTACATTGATGGATTCACTGCCTCGCTACATTGCCACCGGGTACACAATTCTTTGTTTTAAGTACACGCGAATGTTCGTCTAAAATCATTGATCACCGTTTGAAATAAAATAAACTAGTTGTTGAGCACAATTGCACATTATTTTCCGATCCTGTTTTCCTTCCCGACACCCCCTTTTTGAACCATCGGTGCCCGACGCGCCTGCTTGGGAAACACGGTCTCTCCTTGTACGCTGACTCCGATAAAATTCTCTCTTTTCTATTTTTACACACAATCTCGCTTAGCATACACACACACGTATACACACACATACTCGTCCTCTCATTTTCGCGTTTAAACGTTAAACATTCGATAAAGTTTCAAGTTAGAACCATTAAAAAAGAAATGTACAACAATATGTAGAACTCTCTCAA